TGGCTGCTTCATGTAGATCCCCTCATCTACCACGCCATAGAGGAAAGCCGTCTTCACATCCATTTGCTCCACCTTCCAACCACAAACGGCAGCTGCTGCCAGCAACACCCGAAGAGTAGGAGCCTTGGCAACAGGAGAAAACACCTCCTTAAAGTCAAACCCCTCCCTCTGCTGGAAACCCTTGATCACAAGTCTTGTTTTGCGCCTCTCCAACTTCCCCTCTGCATCGGTCTTCACACGTAATATCCACGTGCAATCCAATGCCTTTCTTCCAGGGGGCAGATCAGTGAGGTTCCATGTTCCATTCTCCATGAGGCTCTGAAACTCATCCTCCCTTGAAGCCAACCAAGCCTCTCGATCATCTCCAGCAAGTGCTTCCTCCATTGAAGCCGGTTCATGAGGTAAGTTGACACCGAAGCAACAAATCTGCTCCATCTCTCCCTCGGCTCCCTTCTCATCATCTTCCTCCTCCTGGACCAGCAATGCCTTGGGACCCCCAAGCCTTTCATACTTGAGGAAATCCCTTGGGTGAGCAGCTCTCTTGGGCCTCTCCTTGGCTGCACCCTCCTTAGCTCCACCGCGGACAACGCCATGCTTCCCTTGGGTTGTCCGCCTTGATGGAAGTGAAGGGGATGATGTTGGCTGCTGCACCTCCTCCCTGGCATCACCTCTCTCAGCTACAGGGGCCTCCTCTTGCTGCAAAACTCCTTCCACCTCTGTTGCCTCCCCTTCAGCACCTCCCAAGTCATGTGACACCTCCGTTACCTCTGAAGATGAAGACAACTCGATGGGAATGAGGAGTGGGTCATTCGTTCCCACCTCTATTCCGAGCGGAATGGTGACCTTGCTCCTCCCTCGCTCCAACCACTCCTTGAACATGAGCCCCTCCATGAACTTGGCATCTCTGGTGGTGAAGATGGTGTTGACTTTTGGGTCCCACATGAGCCACCCCTTGCTCCCTTGTGCAAGTCCCAAATGAACAGCCCACACCGCCGCCGCTTGAAGCTTGTCACGCTTCTCCTTAGGGACGTGCACGAGTCCCATGCACCCAAAGACTCGAAGCATATCCACCAGGGGCTTCTTGCCTCTCCACTTCTCCATAGGGACCCAATGCTGCCCTCCCACATGAGCCAATACTCGGTTCTTGATGACGGTGGCATGGCGAATAGCGAGGGGCCAGAATCGTAAGGGTAGACCCGAGTCTACCAACATCGTTCTCCCGCCCTCCAAGATGGTCCGGTTTGCTCTCTCTGCCACGCCATTGGATTGAGGAGTGTAGGCCGTGGTGAGCTGCTGCTTGATGCCGTGCCGCTTCAGCCAGCTCCGGAACTCTGCTCCCAAGAACTCCCCACCACGGTCGCTACGAATCGCCTTCACCCGCTTGCCGCTCTCTCGCTCCACCATGGGCAGCCACTCTTCAATGATGACCCTTGCAGCATCACTTTTCTTTGCAAGTGGAAAGGACCAGGTGAGCCTTGTGCTGTCATCCACCATGGTCATGGAATACAGGGCCCCACCATCTCCCTTCACCTTCATGGGTCCCACGAGATCCACATGCACGAGCTCCACCGGGTCACTCGACTTCCCCTCCACCGAATGGAAGGGAAACCGTGAAAACTTGCTGGTCAAGCAAGTCTCACAAGATCCCACCTCCTTGGGCTCCCCCTTTATCCTCAGCCCCTGGGCTCTTTCCTCCTTAAACAGCTGCTGCAACTGAGGTAGCGCCACGTGGCCAAAGCGACGGTGTGCGGTGAGCCAATCCGTCTCACCCGTGCTAGGAGTTACACTTGGAAGCGCAGCCCCTCCATGCCCAAGGAGCCCACCATCACTGTCATCACCACCCCCTCCATTGTCCACGTGGTTAACACGCCCTCCTCTCACATCTCCAGCAGCCAAGCGCGCAGCCGTCTCCTTCCATGGCAGCACCGGTATCTCCCACATGGACCGGTGCATGTCCTTGCCGCCTCGGAGGTCCCACAATACGCGCCCATCCAGAGTTGCCTTGAAAGCCTTTGTGCCCAACATCTCCATCTTCATCCCTGCCTCACTTAGGGCCTTGGTAGAGAGGACGTTGGCACACAATCCAGGAACAAGGAGAACACGCTTCAGCCCCACAAGCCTCCCATCCGCACCCATGAACATGGCTCTCCCCTCGCCACGCACGGGTACAACTTGGCCGGTGGCTGAAACGACGGTGGCTGCCTTTGATGGCCTAACTTCATCCAGTAGATCCTCTCGGTTGGTCATGGTCATGAAGGCTCCCGTGTCGATGACCCAATGGGAGGAGCGGTGAAGAGCAACCTTGCTGGCCGGCACAACCATGTCCTCGGAGCACGCCTCTCCTACATGGTAGAACATGCCGCTGTATCCGCCAGCACCTCCATCGCCCTCCTCACTGCCCACGCCTTCTCCCATAGCTCCATGAACACCCTTGGAGCCCTCAAGTGATGGCTGACCAGGCCTCCAACCGTCAGGTAACTTGCGGCACTTAAACCATGGGTGACCTTCCACATGGCAATACCAACATTTGCCGCCACACCGCTTGCCTCCCTTGTTGCCACGCTTCCCTCCCGAATGCTGCTCCCCTCCAGAGCCTTCCTTGGCCTTCCATTTCTTGCTGCCACGCCCCTTGAAGCCCTTCATGCCATAGGCAGAGCCTCCACCTTCACCGGCAGCGGCGGTCAGCTCCTTCCTCCGAAACTCCTCTTGAAGAACTTGCGCGCGAATCCACTCAAGGGACCACGAGTCCTTCATGCCATTAAGGTTGACCACAAAGGGCCCCCACGACTCCGGCAGCAGGGAGAGAGCCTTGTAGCACTTGATTTTCTCAGGGTAGTCCACACCAGCAGCAGAGAGCTTCACATAAAGGTCCCGGAGTTGATCGAACGCTCCTTGCACGGCATCACCCTCGTTGATCTTTACCGCATGGAGTTGTCGCTCGAGCACCACCACCATAGCTTCGCTGCTGGGGGCGTGGACATCCTTCAATATCTTCCATGCCTTTGGACCACACTCAACTTCCTTGATGAGATGCTTGATGTGGTACAGCTGGTTGGATGAGAGGCATTGAAAGAGAAGGAAGAATCCATCCTTGGACCGGCGATCCCATTCCTTGGTCGCTCCTTCGCTCGCAGGCCTCTTCAATTCTCCATCCATCACTTCAAGCAGCCCATAATGGTTGAAGAGGAGCTCCATCCTGAAGCTCCATGATGCCCAATCATCCCCAGAGAACTTCTCCAGGTTGAATGCCTTCACATCATCCTTAGCTGATGTTGAAACGGAAGCCATTGATGCAGATCCGCCTGCAACGCCTCTTCCCGCTTCCCCAGCGCCTCTCACGCCACCACTGCCACTAGGACCAGCTGGAGCAGAACCTTCAGCCTCCATATTCACCCACTAACAGAGTAGAACAGCTCTGATACCACTTTTTATGGTCTGCAGTCCACTTAGAGGTCGCGGATGCCCATGAAACCCCCTAAGCAGAATCTGACGTCTTCAAACCGCCTCTGTTCAAAACGCCGTCACAATCAGCTCCAAACTCATACGAGGCTGAAACTTGAACAGCGGTTAGCCTTAGGTGTCTGCTTTCCAAGGGTATATTATTTGCTATTATCAGAGGTGTGTGCACTACGCAGTGAACGAAAACGTAAGCACGGCTGAAAAACGTGTAGTTTCATTGATGCAAGGAAGAGGTGAGTACAACATTGCCTAGGGGACTCATAAGGAGTTGGGTCATCCTGGGAACTCAGAGAAGGTTGAGTCCTAGGGGAGAAAGGCTAGAGAAGAATGGGAAACCTCCTAGCTAGGTCAGCAAAGCCAACCACACTTGGATGTTCAGAGCTGTACTCAAGGCTACCAATAGTGAGTCAAGCCAACATGAGTCAGCTTGTCTTCCCACTTGCACCCTCTTGCAAGCTGCTTCCAGGAAGACCACACTTCTCAAAAGGAGGTTTGTAGAGTCCCACTTGACCAACTGTACTTCTTGTCTCATTCTCTGTCCCTGCACCATTGGCATGACAACAATGAAAGGGTGGCAAGGGAAATGCTGCCAACAGTGCACCATAACCACGGAACAGTGAATTTCGGAAGCTGTCACGCAATGCTCAGATGTTGGATCGTTCTGAAACTTGGTGACCACCTGCATAGCGCGGCAAAGGACTGCCACACCGAAGTTCAGACGAATCAAATCTCGGTAGACGAGTCAGCAGCCGAAATGGTGAACTCGGGTGTTACCAAAAAGGAGTAACACACACTTCCGGGATGCCATAAGTCTTGAAACATAAAATGTTGTCATGCCTTGGTAACTGCTTCAAAAACTCTGAAACTTTGAGGGTTGAAGAACACATGTTGAACAACCTCCCCAAAAAATTCCAGAAGCTGAGCAGGCTTGTAGGCCGAATGGGAGTGCGATGACCGTGCCACTGTAATGTGTTCGCACAACACTTGGAGCAGAGCAGCGTATGCCTCCTCCACTTGGCATGTCACCATCGCACTGCTGCCACCATGAGGAGGTATTGCCTCCTTCTATGCTCCATATCTCATCATTGCACACTGCCTTCATTGCTCAAAGCTCCTATTTCCTTGGTGCCTGGGTGACATCTGCTTGCTCACGTCACAACAGGGATCTTTCCAAGATGAATCTTTATGGCAGCTTGCATGCCGACATCTCCAAGCTCACTGCGCTCACCAGCCTATAAGTGTTGTTGCTTCCACCAACACAAGGCCCCGCATCCATCCATCCTCACTTACCTTGCGCCCACTTTCTACCATCCCTATTCATACGTATTCTGCTTCTATTCCATGCCCCTTAAACCTCACAACGTGTGAGTGCCGCTGCTCACCAACCTTCTTTCACCAACACATGGCTCCGCACCCATCCATCTTCCCTTACCTCGCTCCGCATTTTCACCATAGCCATTCAAACGTATTCTATGACATGCCCCTTAAACATCACGACCTTACAAGCTCGCGTTTTGCAACTCCCCTCTGCTCTCTCTTCAATGCCTCTCTGCCCCTATGCCCCTGTGCCGGTGCCTCTTTGTCCCCATGCTCGCAGCAACATGGCATCCAACCTCTTGGATGCGCGCATGAGCGAGTGGGCTCTGCCTCTCACGGGTCTCAAGGCACTCAAGCAGCTGTCAGTCCTCCTGCCTGCACACCCTGCTGCTGCAACATTGCATGCCCACCACACCAAGCCGCTTGCACATTTGGTTGCGTATTACTGTTCTCGTGATTTCCCGCGTCCCACTTTTCTCGGGTGTGACCTCTTTCTCTCCGCCTCTGCCCTCCAGGTCTCTCAACTACAACTGGTTCTCTGGCCCTCTGCCCTCGTACCTCCTTACCATGTCCACACTCTCAGCCCTGTAAGCCACCTCCCTAGCAAAACCAAATGTTTACACACACACATACACACATATGCACACACACAACACATTCACACACACACGTGTACACACGTGCGCACACGCATGTGCACGCACATACACATGCACACATATTCACACACATGCACACACACATGCATACACATACACACACATGCACACATGCACGCTCACACATATACACACACTCTCCCACATACACATACACACATTAACTCTCTGACCCACTCAGCTAGGCACATCTCGTTTCCATTAGCCTTGCAAAAGTCCCCATCCACTGTTCGTCTTGTCACTCCGTCGCCACTCATAGTACGAGTCATAGCGTCCTCCCTCCAACTTCCTCCATCCCCGTCCTCTTCTCCCCGGCCCCTCTTCCCCTCCCCCTTTCTCCAACAATGTGCAATTCAACTGCCTAGCTGGTCCCATCACCGACACTCCCTCTGCCTCCCTCAAGTCCCTCAATGTCGCCTCCAACCTCCTCAGAGGAACCTTTCCAGCAACTTCCGCCACCGCATGTGATGCTCGCAGCAACTGCCTAGCGGACTCCTCCAAGTGCCTCGCCTCTGGCTCCTCCTCCCAGAGGCTCTCCTCTGACTGCACCCTGTGCGGTGCTGGGTTTTCCGGTGCGGTGATATGCAATAGAGGGGTGTGCACGCCTGACACTACCGGGCCAGTGGCAGCACTCGGACCTAATAGTGCCTCAGATGCCCTGCTGCCCATGCAGTGCTCAGGAGTTCGCATTGACGCCACAGCAGGTGCGCCTCCCGTCCTGCCCAGTGTCTACTTGTCAGAATCGAAATCCGGATTTCTCAGCTCTCCACTAAGCTTGTGTGTCCTATTTTTCCTTTACAAGCCATCTGATCCATACGCTGTCCTTGCTCCTTCCCCTCTGTCCATCAACTTCTCCCCTATCTCCACTTTACCCGTAATCCCCTCCCCTTCCCCCACCTGCACCTCCCAGTATCGGTGCTTGGGAGTCTCAAGGGGCGTTGGGAGTGCCTCTCCCTCACTCCCTTGCTTTCCGCAACGTCTTCTCTAGCTGTGTTACTCTCCTCCCTCCCTCTCTCCCCACCCTCTCCCCACCCCCCACCCCCACCCTCCAGTATCGGTGCTTGGGAGTCTCAAGGCGGCGCTGGGAGTGCCTTACTCTGACTGGGGAGTGAACTCCCTGTGCACGGTGGTCATTGTTGTTTCCGGAGTCAGCAGCTTCTCCCCTGGCCCGAGGGACTTGGGAGGCGTGCTGTGCAGCCCGGCCGGGGCTGTGGTGGAGATCAACCTCAACACGTGCCAGCTGGCTGGGTCCATGCATGCAGATATCTCCAAGCTCACTGCGCTCACTGATCTGTAAGCCCACTGCTCCGTAAGCCCACTGCTCCGTAAGCCCACTGCTGTGTAAGCCTACTGCTCTGTAAGGCCACTGCTCTGTAAGGCCACTGCTCTGTAAGCCCACTGCTCTGTAAGGCCTCTGCTCCGTAAGCCCACTACTCTGTAAGGCCACTGCTCTGTAAGGCCACTGCTCTGTAAGCCCACTTCTCTGCAATGTCTTTCTCCCTCTGCCAATCTCTGCACCTCTGCCCTTCCTTCCCCTTTCCTGCCTTACCCCCTTTCCTGCCTTACCCCCTTCCTGCCTTACCCCCTCCCTATCTTACCCGTTTCCTGCGCCCCCCATTTCCTACCCTCAAACCCCTGCCTTCCCACCTCCTGCCTGTTCCCCTTTCCTGCCTTCCCCAACCCATTCCCCTGTGCCTTCTGTCCAACACCCCCCTTCTGCCTTTCCCGTAGGGTCTTCTACTCAAACTTATTGGCTGGTCGCCTGGATGCCTTCACAGCACCCTTCACTGCTCTCTCCAAGCTCGAGAACCTGTACGTCTCTCTTTCTCAACCACTCCTCTCTCTGTTTCCATGCTCTCTCCAAATGACCTTCCATTTCGATGGGTACAAGAGAAACATAAAGGGGTGAAGCAGAATTCTAGCTACAGAGCTCGTAAGGGACTGGGAGATTTGTAGCCGCCCTATTTTAAGATGATCCCCCCAGTTTGTAAAGCTCATTGTTGAGTGAGTGCAATCCGCGCCCCCTTCTCTCTCCACTCTCTTGCGTTCATGTGCCGTATACACCCCTCTTTCTCCTCCTGTGCATACATGAAGCAGCTCACATCTGAACAGCATTCACAGGCCCCACATGTATGGGCCTTGTAGAAATCTGGAATGCTATACCCAATTTAATCCTCCTCACCCTTTGACTCGATTCCTTTGCATCCACCTTCCCTTACACTCCTTCCTCTCATCCCCTTCCCTGTGTGCCGTGCTGTCAACTGCACTACAACTACCTGTTTGGGCCCATCCCCTCTTCTCTAATCGGCCTCAAGAGCCTCTCCAAGCTCTGAGCTCACCACTTTATTGTCATTGTGTGCTATGCCATAGCATACAAAGCCCACTCATTCCGTATCATGCTATGCCAGCACATGCCGCTTCACCTACTTCTGCTGCGCCTCTTCCTTTGTGTATCCTTCTGCCTCGCACTTCACTCAACCTCCCCATTCCCCCCTCCCCCAACCTTCCTCCTACTCGCACTTCCTCCTCTCTCTCTAATCAACCACCCTAGTCAAGTCTGTGATGCCTACTGCTTCATGTTGCGCCTGTGATGCACCTATCTACCCGAGAGGTCTGCTGATTTATCTATATACTAGACTCATTCCAAGCCCCCTCCTCTCCCCACCACACGCGTCATCCTACAGGATTCTAGGCTCCAACTATCTCACTGGGAGCGTCCCGGTGCCAAGCACCTCCATCAAGCACCTGGACCTCGAAAACAACTACCTCGTGGGAACCTTCCCAGCAGGTTCCTGGCAGTCTTGCTCAGCACGCACCAACTGTTTCGCGAGTGCTTCTGCTTGCACGGCGGACGGAGGCAAAGGGACTGTTCAGAGAGCAACGTGCAGTATCTGCAGCAGTGCCGATGGCACGGGGGCGTTGTGTGGCGGCGGTGGTGCATCCACCTGCCAGCCCACAGCTGCTTCCCTCGCGTCCCTCTCCACGCTCAACAGTCCCTCTACACCTGCACTCCCTATGGCGTGCTCCTTGGTGCCGGCTGTTCCCGTCAACTCTACCGCCAGTAAGTTGTTAAGTGCAAATTCACATTGCATGACATCCTGCCGTCTGTACGAGTATGCGTGTGCGAATGCATTTGGGTATGAATGGAATGTTCGTGTGTTTGTTTGTTTTCGCAATTTTCGCATGAAGCATTTGCAGGTACTCGCACAATGTGCGCTTCGGCACAACATTGTACGCGATATGAACAGTACAAGCGGAAAGGATGAGCTCGCAAAGGAACCCAAGATGGATGCTTTGCGGTTCGGCTTACTTGATTGCGCAGATTCAGTTCTATCCAACTCGAAATTGTACTGTTTTGTTTGGTTGACTATAGTGTAGCAGGGCAGGCACTATAGGGGTACAATTTAGGTGAAGGTTGGATGTTGTTTGTCTGTATCTGCATGCTACAGGGCCAGGGGAAACCAGCGGAACCAGCATTTGGCTGGTTGGGCAAAGACAAAACAGGTTCTGTTTTTAGGACCTTTACCTGGTTGTTTTCCCAGGTTGGAAAAAAAGAACCAGAGGTTGTTTACCAACCTACCACCTGCTGTTTTGTCCAGCCAGGTTGGTTCTGTTGCTTGGAATTATTTGGGATCATCCTTGGTTGTTCCCAGATTTATTCCCAAGGTCCTTGCTAGCTAGAACTATTTATTCTTTCTCTGTTTGAACCTGGATATATTGAAATTGATTCAAGCGAATTCCTTCCTGACTGGAATTTCGTTTCTACGCGGTGCGACGGCGGAATGCTACCTGAGTCAACGCTAGTACGCTAGCACTCCAACACTAGGCAAACGCTGTCCGAGCCATAACTTCGTAATGGCAGAACTTTTCGCGAGGCAACTTGGTTCATTTTAAAGCTCTTGGAGCGAGCTTCGATATAGGAAATTCTCAGCTTAATCCGATCGACGGTCTGCACGATACGCTGCGCGACGTTCAAGGTACTCTTGCTGTTTTGACTAAGTCCCTCTTGATCCCTCTCTCTACAAACTCGGACCCGACGATAGGGGCTGGTCTTGTACCAGGCACCCAAGGACCCTTGGAGGTGACCCCGAGGAGGTCTTAATAGCTTGAGTTTAGTAGGCCCTTACACCAACAAGCTGGTATCAGAGCTGCGTTATAGTGATCCTCGATATAGGTAGCTATGGCGGGCAACACCTCGACGGGAGCTGGTGAATCTTCAGCCCAAGATCATAGCGACAGCCATGATTCCGGTGTTTCAGCGCCAAGGGGAGCGCGAACAAACCAGGGTTCGCTGGTCAAGGAGGTGCTGAAGAATTTCACCGTCGAGAAGTTCAATGGTGAGGGCTATGATGATTGGGCCTGGAAAATGCAACTCTATTTCCGTGAGATTGGATTGCTGAAACTAATGATTGGGGAGGAGCCTAGACCGAGTGACCCTGCGCTGCAGGAAGATTGGGACGAGCGCTCCTCGGCTGGCTACTATTTGATGTCGCAGAGTTTGGAGCTGAACCAGCGTCACCACGTCATGCACCTGCTGCCGGAGGTTGAGTGCGGTCCGAAGGCGTGGACTGTGTTGAAGGAGCTGCACGCCCCGACCTCCGTTGTTGCAACATTGATGCTGGAGAGGGAGCTGTCCGTGTTACGCCTGAACGAGGGAGAGCCGGTGCAACCTGTCCTGGACAAATTGCGCAACCTCTACGCGAAGTTGGCGACCGCGGGAATCACCTACCCGGAGCAGACCAAGTGTTTGAAGATGCTCTCGCTGCTGCCGGAATCGTGGCTTCAAGTCACGTGCGGATTGAGCCTGCCGCAGAACCAGAGCTCGTGGACACTCGAGTGGGTGCGGACAAAGATTCTAGAGGAGGACTTCTGTCGCCGTCTACTGAGGGGTGGAGACGACGGCAGTAGCGGCTACGGAATGCAAGGGAGCCGACGTGGCAGAGGACGTGGCTTTGGTGGTGCTGGACGCGGTGCAAAGAAGGACGACGACTCCAACGACCAACAAGGAGGTACCGGTTGGGGTCGCGGTGCGAAATCTGGACATGCGGGCAAGTCGGGTGCTGGTGGCAAAATGAAAGGGAATTGTTGGTATTGTGAGAAGGAGGGGCACCCCTGGTTTTTGTGCTATAAGAAACCCGATGGATGGACCCCCCAGAATCGTCACCAAGATGGCGGCGCGCGGAGGAACCAGAAAAACGGCGCGAGCATGGTTGCCGATTTGTCCAACAACAACCCGAAGAGCAATATCGGTGCGGAAAAGAAGGAGCGCACCGCGGGCCAGTTCTTCCATATTGGAGAGCAGGGGAAGCAGGGGGAGCAAGGAGACGCCTCTGCCAAGGTTGGAGCAGAGCTGCACCCCCTGGATTATTGGGTGTTGGACACGGGCGCTACTTGGACGATGACGCCGCGAAAAGACCTGCTGGACCACGTACAAGCAACACCGATCAACGAGGTGTGCTCCGCCTCTGGACACGCGCTGAAGGTGGCTGGTGCGGGACGAGCTGCGTTTAAGGGAGCGCATCGAAAGCCGGTGGTGCTGCACGACGTTCTCCTTGTTCCTTAACTCAAGGCCAACCTCATCTCCCTCCGTAAGCTTGGCAAGTCTGGGGCGAGCACTAGCACGGATGGGGCACGCACTAACAAGGGGCAGCTGGGCAATCGGGTGCTTTGGGATCTGCACGAGAGCAAGGACGTGTACAGATCCATGTGGCAGCTGCCGGCGTTGGCGTGGCATGATGGCGGGCAGGTTGGAGAGGGGTCTGCATCCCAGGGGGAGTGCAACACCGTTGGAGGGGTTGGTGTGAAAGTGTCGGCCAGATCTGGGGAGACGGATTGGGCAACGGCACATCGACGCTTGGGGCATGTGGCAATGCCCTTGTTGAAGCAGTTGGAGAAAGATGGAGCCGTTAAGGGTCTTAAGCTGAACGAACAGCCACCTGATGCAAATTGTAAAATCTGTTTGCTCTCAAAGTTTACTTGTTTCCCCTTCCATAGTGTGGCGGGCAGGAGCAAGAAGCCATTGGAGCTGGTCCACATGGACTTGGTGGGGCTGCTGCCGGTTCAGGGGCACAAGGGGGAGCGGTACTTTCAGACCATAGTGGATGATTGGAGCAGGCTTATGTGGGCATATCCGCTGAAGCAGAAGGTCCACGCCGCCTCTACGATACGGGATGATTGGCTGTCATTCGTGAAGAAGCAAGCGGAGTGTATGGTGAAGCGGATTAGGACAGATCGGGGTGGTGAGTTCCTTGGAGCTGAGATGACGGCCTGGCTCAAGAAGCAGGGTATCCAGAGGGAGCTGACCACGGCTTACACCCCACAGTCTAACGGTGTAGCAGAACGGGCGAACCGGACAATTCTGGAGACAGCTAGGGCGCTGCTCATAGAATCTGGGCTGGGCAACTCGATGTGGCCCCATGCTGTTCGACACGCTACCGTCGCTAGGAACAGGGTACTCACAAAGGTTGGGGATGACTCGTGGGTGCCGTTGGAGAGGTGGCTTGGGAGGAAGCCGCCAGTAGACATGCTGAGGGTGTTCGGTTGCATGGCAGTCGCCCACGTCCCCAAGACCTACTGCAGTAAGTTGGGGGCAAGTGCAATCTGGTGTGTGCATTTGGGGCTAGCTGCTGAGAGCAAGGGATGGCTGCTGTGGGGACCATCCAAAGGTGTGTTGTTTGACAGCAGGGATGTGAAGTTTGTTGAGGGCATGATGTATGGGAGCTGGGAGAAATAGCCGGAGGCCAGGGTGTCCCAGCAAATGGAGCAGATCATCATGCAGCTGGACCTGACTCCTAGTGTGTGGGAGGAAGGAGAGTAGGTAGCTGCAGAGGGTGGTGATGGAGAGAAGGTACAGGAGGCATCTTCTGGTGGAGAAAATGATGTGGAGACTAGCACTAGTGGAGCTGCTGGATCCGAGGGAGGAGAGCAGCAGCAGGGGAAAACTAAGAAGCCGAAGGGTGTTGTTATGAAGGGATGGGAGACACCCGTCTCCAGACCAGGACGTACCCGTATGGCTACTAAGAAGTTGACTGCAGGAGCTGATGTAGCAGCGCAGCAGCTTGGGACAGAGAAGGCATTGCTGATTCTACCTCATGGCTATAACCCGGATAAGGAGGATGAACCTGCCTACTCTTTTCTTGCCCCTGCACCAGAGGAACCAGCTAGCATGGAGGAGGCATTAGCTGGACCAGATAGGGAGAAGTGGCTGGCTTCTAGGGATGCTGAGTACCAGAGCCTACTAGAGAATGGGACATCGGATCTGGTGGTGCTGCGCGATGGGAAGAAAGCTGTACAGTGTAAGTGGGTGCTAAGGATCAAGACTGATGACAAGAGACGAGTCACCATCTACAAGAGTAGGCTGGTGGCTAAGGGGTTTATGCAGAAGGAGAAGCGGGACTTCAATGAGATCTTTGCTCCCACTACCAAACCCCCTACCTTCCGTGTCTTGTTGGCAGATGCAACCGTTAGTGGAAAATTCATCATTCAGATGGATATATCAACGACATTCCTCAATGGGATTTTAGAGGAGGATGTGTACA